GAGGGACACAGACATAGAGAGGCTGTGTGACGACAGAGGCAGAGATGGGAGTGATGCAGACACAAGCTGTGGAGCGCCGAGGGGGGGAGTTGGGGGGCACCAGACATCAGGGAATGGAGCCTCCAGAGGGCAGGCTCCCCGGCCTCTGCGGGTCTCAGTGTCTTTGTGAACATGAGGAGGGGATTCCGAGGCACGCCCACAGCGCTGGCGTGAGGACCAGCTGAAGTGATGCGGGCGGCCCCGCACACAGTCGGCACTCACTGCCCAGCTGTCGCGATCGTGCCCCGTGTTGACGCTTTGCTGTTTTGCTTCTCAGGGGATGATCACGTTAATCTTGGCCACAGACATGGCAAGACACGCAGAGATTATGGATTCTTTCAAGGAAAAAATGGAGAATTTTGACTACGGCAATGAGGAGCACGTGACCCTCGTACGCAGGCTTGTCTTCCCTCTTTGGGGGCTGGTGGGTGAGTCCCACCCTCCGGCTCAGACTGGAAACCAAGAAGCCAAAATTCATAACCTCACCTCGGAGTGAGGTGTCGCTGTCACAGCTCTTACCGGGAAAGCCCCCTGTCGGGACCCCGCCCCCCAGGTTAAAGGCAGCCTTTTCCTGTTCCTCCATCTCATTCTGATTTGAAGGCGATGAGTGGGTGAAGGCAGTCCCTCTGGCTCTGGTTTGCTGAGAATAAAGTTGGTTCTCCCATGAAGGCCCAGCCCCAGGAAACACACTGAATCCCAGCCTCTGGGCAGGCACCTTGGGGACCCGGTGGGACCCCACGCCTCCCACCTGTGCCCCCACCAGCTGCATTTCAGGGCGCCCCCTGCATAACCAGGGCGGGGGGACCAGAGAAGGGCGGAACCTCACCCGTGATGGGAGTGTGCCCACATCTGCCCTTCGGAGAAGGGAAAACTCGGGAAGACTTCCCGCCCTGGTCTCCAGAGAGAGACGGGGTTGGTTCTACGAGCCTGGTCTAAGGGCGAGGTCTACTCTCTGACAGCCTCGCTTTCTCAGAAGTGTTACCATCCACACCGTCACTTCCGTCACCATGTGTTCATCAGCAAGGACAGTCCTCTTCGATCTGGCTGGACTTCTGTCCTCAGGAGGGGCTCGTCCACTCCACAAAACTGAATTATGGCTAATACACACAGTGTGCAGGGGAGGACCTCCAGTTTTTAATAACTGAACAGCGGGAGAGCCTGTCCCCCCAAGTCAGGGCCTCCCAAAGCATCCGATCCCAGATGCAAGAGAGACGCAGTCTGGTGCAGGGAGTTCCTTGTTCCTGGAAACAGTGGGACGGGGGAGGTGCCGCCCTGCCCTCTAAGATGCCGAGAAGGCCGAGCAGGGTCTGGGCGGGGACACATCTGGAGATGGAAGATGGAAGGGCAGACCAGCCCCATCCATTGCCAGTTCTTTGCAGAGGGAGGGCCAGCTGGGACGGAGCGATGGGGCAGGAGCCCAGAGGGTGGCGCTGCCAGTGTTCAGGGGTCACTTAGGGCAGCGGGCCACTCAGAGTGACCATCACGTCTTTGCAGGCCAGGGGCAGAGAGAGGCACGGGCTCCCCAGGGCCTCATCCATCCACACCCCACTGCCCCCCACCCCAGGGCAAGTGTCAGTGACCTGCACACGGACGGAGGGAGTTAGTCTCCTGGGAAGACGAGGACGCGGCCGGGTGTGGGGCGTGCAGGGGGCACCGTCTGGGGCTGGTGTCCAGGAAGGCTGGCAGGAGGGGCCAGGGCAGGACCTGGACGGTCACACGTCCAGACGTGGGTGGCGAGGAGGAGGGGGCTTCTGGGGGACAGTGGCTCAAGCCGGGCAACAAGTGAAGGACAGCGGGGACGGTACATCACTGCTTTCCTAGAGCTTTTGGGGGAACTGGAAGAACAGATGGATTTTGATACAGTTCGTGGCAAGTCGAGGGTAATTTTTTAAAGTCACACAGTCTGATGCTGTCTGCTCAGGACTGCCGGTCACAACCTAACGTGTGGATGCGGTGCTGCTTATCTGCGCCCCCAGGCGAGCTGCGCTTAGGCTCCCGGGAGAAGTCGCGGCCGACCTGCAGCTGCAGCGCTGTGGCCGCCGCCTAGCCACCGGGAGGGCTTTGCGATCGGGGCTCTGTGTGTTTTCCTAGCTGTGTTTTATTTGAAGCCTTTCAAAGGTAGATGGTAAATGAAACACCTTCACAACTGGAAATGTGGATTAGGCAGCTTCAGGTGAAATTAGTTTTCCCTTTGATATAAAAATAAAAGTTTATCCAAATATGAGGGAAAAAAAAGGCAGGAAGCCCAGGGTCCCGGCAGAGGCCCGGCTAACATGGGGCGGTGCCAGGCTTGGGACCAGAGGGCAGAAGCCAAGGCCACCTCGACCTTTGTGTAACTGTGTGCCCCCAGGCTGGGGCGGGATTCTGCCTTGGACGCCCCTTCGGTCAGCAGGCGGGACCGTGGTTCCCCATCCTCCTTCCCTCCCCGGTGCTCAGGGAGGGGGTGCCGAGCCCAGGGGGTGTCCTCCCTGCTTTTACGTGAGGGTCCCCTTCCCCCTCTGTTTCCAGCGGGCCACTTCTGTGCCCAGGGGCCCCAGGACCCTCCACCTTACCTTTTAAAGCCCCGCCTTCTGGCAGTGCTGTGTCTGCGTTTCTTAGTATTGTCAGCGTCCAAAAGGTACACTTGAACTTGTCAGTGTGTGGTTTGTGGGACCACCGTCCGTGTTTTAAAGGGGCTTGCCCACGCCTCGAGGCCCCACCTCTGGGAAGATGCTGACCGCCGGGGGTGCGGTGATGCCCCGCAGCGGCGGGACCGGCCTGCGTGGCGGTGCTGATGCCCCCTCTCCCTCCAGCTGAAGATGGTTCTGATAAAGTGCTGTGACATCTCCAACGAGGTCCGCCCGGCAGAGGTGGCCGAGCCCTGGGTGGACTGCTTGCTGGAGGAGTACTTCATGCAGGTAAGGGCGCTGCCCAGCAGCCACCCTCCCGTGGCTCCTTCCCCCCCTTCACCGGGTTCGTGTCGAGGACGTGGCAGGCTGGTGCCAGGGTGGCCGCGTCACCAGCCCCCTGAAGCCGTGACAGCGGGCACACGTCAGCAGTGAAGTGGGTTTGAGGCACAGAAGACGGGGACCAACGGGAGCAGCGCGTGTCACGCTGCCCCTGTGACCACTGGCTCACCCGCTGAGGGGGCCCCGGGGCCCGCAGGGGCCAGGAGCGGGAACCGTGGAGGCAGAGGGCCCCCGGGGGAGGTCAGCCAGCAGCAGTTCC